TTGAGCTGGTGATGTTTAAATTTAAGGTAGGAGACAATGAATTTTGTATATTTTTGGCTGAATATAACTCCATTGCTTCTGATTGGTTGGATTTTGTTACGACGCCCTCTCGTGATGAACTGGTTAGATATGGCGAAGTTGTGAATAAATTAAAATTTGACGAATCTGATTGGTTACAATTTTCACCGCATGATTTTCCGCCCTCTCGTGGTGAGTTGTGCATTTACATATCTTGTTTTGATTGGTTGTTGTTTTTGCCGCATAAGTTTCCGATCTGTACTTGAGGGATGTGAATTTGAATACATTGACTGATTGGTTAGTGTCAGTTCCGCATGACGATGCGCCCTCTTGCGGATGTGTGAACATTTGCATATCTGATCCTGATTGGTTGATACTTGTTCCTTCCGTATCGGATGTTTTGTTTCTTTTTGCGGTTCTGCATCGAGGATCTGATTGGATAAACCCTTTGTACGAGATATCGACGCCCCCTTGCGGTGCTTCGGAAATTTGGTGTTTTCCTCCGTTCTCCCTCCCAATTAGTGTAAATCTCTTTGAAATTATCCTGTTTTCCTCTAGGTGGGCCTTGACCAATTGGATTTTTTCAATTTCTTTTGTCGGCGCTGGAGTGTTAATCACCCTACATGCCTCATCAAAGTTTTCGATGACTTTGACTACAAACTGTTCGTCGTATTTTGATGTAGGTGATGCCTCAAATTTAGGACTTCTTGATAAGTAATCTGCCATTCCTATTTTAGCTCCTGCGATGTGAGAAATTGTATATTCGAATGGTAGCATTCTGTCTGCCCATCTTGTCAGCCTAGATTGGTATGTTTTGTTGCCCCAATTTTCTGTTAATGCTGTGACTATGGCCTTGTGGTCGGTTAATATTTGGAATTGGTTTCCCAATAAGTAATTTCTGAAGAATTCACATAACCATACCACCGCTAGTAGTTCGAGCTCGTTAGTGCTGTACTTTTGTTCAGCTGCATTCAAAAATCTTGATGTGAATGCGATTGGTAACCATTTGTCTGGTTCCAATTATTGCTCTAATGCAGCCCCAAGCCTTTAATCCTGCATTGTTTGGTGGCTTCGTAATGGTGCATTTTTGTTATGTTGGCGATTAGTTCCAGGGTTTTTTTTAAATGCGTTGTTTGCTTCTTCACTCCAAATGAACTTTTCTTTGTTATCCGCCTTCAATGATGGGCGTAATGGTTCGGTGTGTTTTTGGAGATTGGGTATAAATCTGGACATGTGATTTAAAATACCCATGAATGATCTGTTGTTTCAGAGATTTTGGCGGTTGTAATTCCATTACTGCTTCTATCTTCGAGTGTTTGGTCTCACTCCTGTCTCATCTATCTCGAATCCCAGCCAGATTAATTTTGTTTTTGAAAATTCATATTTGCTGAGTTTTAGCGCAAATCCTTCTTTGTCTAAGCTTGACAGCACTTTGTCAACTGTTTCATTGTGTTCCGTGACTGAACCTTTTGATACTATTAGTAGGTCATCTAAGAAACAGAAGACTCCTTGAATTCCTTGGATTGTGTTGTCCATTGTCTTCTGGAATTCCTTTGGCATGTCTGTTAGTCCATAAAATCCGGTTTTGAATCTGTACGTTCCAGTAAATTCCCCGCATACGATGCTGAAGTTACAGTGTTTGCTCACGGATTCGTCTAATGGGAGTTGACTGAATGCGTACTTTAGATCTAATGACGTAAACACCAGACTGTGCCCTCTGTCTTGGCTGTATTTATTTGGGCTGCTGAGTCGAGTAGCTCTAATAAATTTGGTATCTGAAATTTATTTTTGAAGATCTGTGAGTTCATTGGTTTTGCGTCCATTGCTAATTTCACTGTGCCGTCCTTTTTTGCTGTTATGACTACTGGAGCTACGAAATGATCACTTGTGCATTTATCAAGTTTTACTATGTGGCCTTCTTTTATGAGTTTCTTAATTTCCGCTCCCACTTTGGTTTGAATATGGATTGGCACTCTTCTGCCCGTTTCCTGAATTGGGATCAATGGTGATTTAAATGACGTGAATACCTTGTGGTTCTTTGAGCGCCCCAATCTATGGAATACATCATTGTATTTCTTAGTGAATTTGTTCCTCCAAAAGGTCGATTCGGCTGATTCTTTTTCTTGCTCTTCTGAAATTGCATTTATTGAATTTTTGGGTGGTTTGAATTGAGTTGTTACTATTCCCAGGTCTGGTTGGATGTCTAAGCCTAATAAACATCTGGTTCTTTTCTCGGAAATTAAGAATTTCGCTCCTTGTAAACTCCATCCATTTGAGTAAGTGTCAATTTCTAGTATTCCGAAGAGTTTTTATCGGTTTATGGTTGTAATCTACGTACGTTGTGGATAACGGATTCTTATCTAGTGATATGATCTTTGCGTTGCGGTCTTTCTGTAATAGAGTTTCAGCTGTACGTTTGCTTACAAATGATGCTGGGCTTCCAGTGTCGATGGTGGCGCTAAATAGAGAGCCTCTTGTTTTTAGCGTTGTTCTTAGACACTTAGTTTTCCCCGTTGCAGAGTTGATGACTTCTAGATTCTTGACTGTTTCCGTTTGTAGTGATGTTTCCGAGATTTTTAGGACTGATTAGTTCTCTTCACTGTCTGAATCTTTGAACTTGCAGTTCTCTTCTTGGTCCGGATCTGGTTGTTCGACGTTGGCCACTTGTTTACTGTTGCAGCATATCGCAAAATGTCCCTTTTTTCCACAATTTCTACATGTTGCTCCTCTGGCTTGGCATTTAGATTTGTGTTCGGGTGAGAATCTTCTTCCACAGAAATAGCATGGTTTAGATTGAGTGTTCGACTGGTCTTGCTGGTTTTTGGGTTTGAATTTTCCTTTCCCTAGCGCTCTATTCATACTGTTTTGGACATTGTTCTTCGACTGGATGGACATCAGTGGTTCTTGTTTGACCCGAAACTGGTTAGATGAGTTTGTGAAGTTCGCTGAATTGCTCGTTGTAGATGGATTCTGCTTTTGGAGAGTGCTCGCTGTCACGTATACCTTCTCCTGAAGTAATGCCGATTTGAGGGTATCATCTACTGTGGTTCCTGGTCTAATGCAAAGTTCTCTTTGTATGTCAGAGAATCTCATTTTTGCAATAAAGATGTCGCGAATGACTTCCTTCTCTATCTCCTCTGTCCATCCACATTTTGAAGCTTGTCCTGCTTGGCGGAGGTAAAATGATTCGAGGCTTTCCCTGTCCCCGTGCGATGCGCTGTAGATTTGCATCCTTTCTATGATATAGTTCGTTTCCCGTTTGAATAGTTGTTCGCAAGCATCGTGGAAAAATTTGAATTTTACTGTGTTTAGGTTGGTATGTGCCTGTTGTTGGAGGAATCTTTTCTTCTCTTTGTTTCCCAAGGCGAAGAATAACCTTGACTTAATCCTTGCATCTGCTTCGTGATAATACACATTTGGACTTATTTTGGGTCCCTTCTTTCTTCGTTTTTTGTTCGCTTCGTTTGTTTTCCTGATTGCCGTTTCATTTCTTGCGGTTCAACTGTCCGCTTCTTCTGCCGTTTCTGAATTTGGTGGGGGGTCGTCGTGTACTTCTGCCGGATCTGTAAGTAGGATATTCGGGTCACAATTATCTTTGAGTGATACGGCGAGGAAAAATTGGCCTATCCACGCCTCCCAAGGATAGGGAGGTTCGGCTGACGGTTTACCCCAAAATGAAGGGCCACCTAGCAGTTCCGTCCTGTCTTCAGAAGAAGAAACTGCTGGCTGCGCCATGTGATAATCCCTAAATCTTATCTGAAAACTAGACTAATAATACAGTTGAAATAATAGTAAAGTTTAATAAGTAAGTATGGATCAAAGAATAGAAGATAACTATAATCTCTCAATAGTTAACACAGAGTGAGTCTCAGTCTTTAGCACCATCAAGTTGTTAGAAAAATCAACGTGGTTGACAGGTCTTTAATTAGTGTTATTCAAATGATCTCTAACATTAATAATAATAAGGTATAACGTCCTCTATCTTAGGTGGTCTACTCACTACCACCACAATGGGTTCATTGATGAATTTTCAGAAAATTGAGGTTTTTAACGCAAAGATTTTATGATATCAACAGTGCCTTGCGCAAGTTTTTATAGCCTACTTTTTTCCATCATTTGTTTGTTCAACCATTTTGATTTTGCCAGCTCTGTTCAAATCCTCAGAAAGCAATATCCAGAAACAATTTCGGGGCCAAAAAAACTGCTCTCTGCTTCCTATGTAGAATGATGATTTACTGGCACTAATGACGCCTTTAGAAACATTTTAATGTCAATCAGCCGAAATTGAACGTCATTAAATAGTATCAAAGAACTTCGGAAAAAATAGAATTCAAGGGGCCGCCGCAGAGTGCATCATTTGCATTTACTGCTCATGCTAGATTTAGTTACCACTACTTTCTTAGTTTGAAGAGAGATGTTAACTTGATTCTGATTCTAAATTAGATTTATCAGTCAAGTGGAGTCGGTTTTCAGCTGATTTTGATGAGAGAGAAGTTTAACCTGATCGATTATTCCAATTGAGCTATGAATGAGCGTTTTTCTGTTCTTAGAAAAAACTTGACACTGTCTGGTGGTTTAAGGTGAACTTTTACCAATGACTAGTACGATGAACCAAAAACTGTACGGTAGTTTTTGGACCAAGTGAACATCCTCTCAACAAACTTAAATTGAACTCTGGGGTGGAGGATGTTATCTTGATCCGTTTTTTGATGCCATACTTTGCAAACTCGTCGTTACTTAAAACTGCCCGACTCGAATAAAACGGATACGCATTCGAAGATTTTCTTTAAAAAAATTGAGCAGTTGATAATCCTGATTTCTTGATTTCTTCTTAACTTTGAGGCTCATGGCTATCCTTATAAATTCTTAACTTTTTTCTGAGCCTCAGTTATTATCAAGTTTCTTTTTTATAAAAAATGTTTATATGATAAGAACAGATTAAATGTAGGATAGTCCTATGATAGAATTAATTAGCTGTAGACTTGAAATCACTCATATAGGCAAGAATGAAAAAAGACGACTTCGCCAAAATATGTTCAGTCGTCAGATGAATTGATCTGCATTAGTGTAACAACAAAGTTCTGCATACTCTTTTATTGTTAAACTTTGTCGATTGATGGTAATCAAGCTTTCCAGTAATATTTTCCTTCTGGTTTTGTCTTCCAGGAGCACATCAACCAATTCAGAGTCGTCGTAATTTATAGCGAAATGAAGGGCGTTCTTCCCCATACACGTGTGCAGCAATAACTTCTCCGGGAACCCAGCCTGCAATAAATATCGGAAAACGTCTGGTTTGCAGTGAGAGTAGCTGATTATACAAAGAAGTGTAACGTCGTCTCGGTGTAGAAGAGGGTATATACCCGATAGCTCCTTCTTTTTCTGGTCTTCCAGGTCCAGTCTGAAACCCAACGGGCATTTAAAACCAATAAATATGCTAGGTTGTAGTGGAAATTCACTAACGGACAAAAAAAAGCTGCAACTTTTAGTTTTGAAAAACAAAAAAAATTAGACGGTGGTCTGCGAAAAAAAATTTAAACGATGAAAAAAACGAAAACATTTCGAACGAGGAACTAGCCAAGATCCTTTGCTTTCCAATGAACATTGAGTTTAGCTCTAAATTCTATGATCGTTTGGGAATTTATGACTTTTTGGCACCCAGGACAAATCTGCAACTCAGTGACAAGCTTAGAGTGAATGTCCGTCCCATCAAGGCCTCGAAAACATTTTTGTTCTGACCGCTGAAAATGGGGAAGAACTTTGTCTTCGGGTTGTTTTTTTTTACTTCTTTTCCACGCAAAACGAAGTACCACAAATAATTGATAGGAGGGATCGAGTGACAGATCATACTTAAGTCGTTATTGGAACGCTTGTAAAAAATTCAAAAACAATTTCCCAGTTTGGAGAAAGTTTCGAGTTTTTGTGTAGTTTCTAAGGAGTTCAGCGAGCGCGCGAGTAGGTTTATAATAGGCATATGAAACTCTCAATCAGGGCTGGATTCAGAATGTTCTCGAGTGAAGGCGGATTTAGTCCCTTGTTTTCAAATTTTTGACTAAAAAACTCGCGTTTATTTTCTGCGCGCGCTCCCGGTAAAAAGGGGGCTCTTTGGGTAGGCAGGAGGGACTTTTTGGGCCTGCAGGGTGTCAAACCCCGGAGGAAGAGTTCGCCCCCGCCCCTTATAAAACCATCCTTGTTCTCATTAAAAGATAATCCATGAATATTTAACTTAACTGCTTTTTATCGCTAATTTTAAAAAATATATAGTTGATTAAATAAATTTTCTGCAACAAATTTTAGAAAAAATTTTGGGTATTTATATTTTTTTCCATTAAACTGATGTCGAATAAACTTAATTTAGTATTACTGTCGATTTTGCGTCAGTTCCAGTCTTTTGTTCAGATCCTTTCATCAAACCACGACAAGAACGAAATATTTTGAAGAAAAAAAATTGTTTTTTTTTTTTAATTTTTTTTTATTGCGGAATCAGTTCAACTTGTTTCTTTTCGATGCAGCTAAGTTTAGCTTTTTTTGAAGTAGTTGAATCTTCTTTGAATCTCAGAGAGGCAACGTCAAAAATAAAGAGAAAATTTTAGTTAGTTTAATTTGTCCGTTAAAATAAAAATAGCAAGTTTCCGTCCCATGATTGTAACCCTCATATCTTAAAATTTAATGTTTGAAAAATTGAAAAAAAAAATCAACAATGAGCCATGAAAAAACGTAAATTTTTAAACTTTAAAAACTATTTCACAGTTATTAACACGCTAGAGTTGTTTTATCCATCTGTTTTTTATCTAAAGTGTTGTTCGGTTCCAGAATCTTATTTAAAAATTATTTCAGCTATTTTAAAAAACAAACTTTCTTTTCTTAAATTACGACAAAAACTGTGGGTTCTCTGCATCTCTGCATTTGTTTTAGAACACGTATAATCGGTTGTCAGGATTTAAAGGGGCGCAAAATAGGGGCGTTAAAACAAGATTAACTTTACAAAAAAGAGGTCTCCGGTATTTTTTTTGAGCCCAAGGCATCATTGGCCTACAGATGATATAAAAACAATGGTCAAAAAATGCTAGTTGAAAAGTCGAATTCATCTTAAGAAAAAACCAGACTAAAAACAACTATTCTGTCATAAAGACTTTGAAAGTTTTGTGTTTCGTTTGCTATGAGACGAGTTTTAAATTTTTTCAACTAACAGTGTTCAATTCACTCTAAGAGGTAGTTTTTAAATAACCAAACAGCTTTGCGTTAGCGTTTATGAGATTCGACAAAAAATCCTGCATGTCAAAAACCGGTCGGCGTACTTGACCCTTTGGAATGTTTTCAGCTCAAATAGCTTTATTTTTGTTTATGGTATTAGTGAACACCGGTAAGTAAAACATTCAAAGGGTAAAACATGCCGACCGGTTTTCGACATAGAAGATTTGTTGCCGAATCCCAACCCGCTAACGCATAGGTGTTCGGTTAATTAAAGATTAACGAAAACGATATAGAGGTTAAGATTGGGTTATCTAAGTTGAATTTAAGACATGAGCTGTACTGATAACCCAAGTGTTGACTTGGATAGATTAAATGAAACGACAAAATTGCTTTTTGCGGGGAACGTAATTTTAGATCGAAACTTTACCAATTAAATCAAAATTGTAAGTTGAACTTTATAACTTCAAATATCCATTACGTTACTTCAAAAGTCCGTTTTTAAAAATTTTGATCTGTCATTTTTTTCGCAAAGTCGTCAATAACACATTCTAATTTGTCAGAAACAACTTTAAAAAATGGAGATCGTCCGGTTTTTCTAATTCCAACGGAAATTCAGCCTCAAAGTTTCACATCAGTTTCTTAACTTGGGAGCAAGGGAGTTACGAAATAGGATATGTCGAGCAAAATTTAAAGAAAACGAGTTTTTGGAATTACAAAAATTTCCAGGTTCATGTTTAAACTTTGTTTTTTTTCTATACGTACCTGATCGAAGGCTTCTGGCATAAATTTTGTCATCTTCCTTAATTTTTTTTGCTTTGAGACGTCCTTTTTTTCTTCTCGACATTGAGGCTCATGAGTTTCAAATATGCATTTTTTAAAAATTTTTTGTCGTTTTTAGACCATTTTTCTTTAAAACTAAGGAGTGCCGGTTGCTCTTCAAAAAGCACAGACTAATCGGACCATAGCCTTTAAAAATATATATATTTTTCAAATTAGTGTTGTTTTTTCTGCGTGATGTGATAAAAGGGTCTGAACAAAAAACTAAAATAGAATTATTCGGTAAACATATTAAAATAAGCAAATTTGACAAAAGTTTTCGTTAAAAATGACTGAAAAAAAAAAACAAATCAAAACAAATTTCAAAATTTTTTCAATTTTTTTTGCAGATATTTATTATTCCCAAAATGGTGTTAAAAAGCTCCAAAAACTAACTTTACCCGAGTAAACTAAAATTAAGCATAAGCAAGTTATTTTAAATGGCTTAAATTAAGCATAATCATGCCTGCTCGCTCGCCATAATCGCTCAAAATTTGACGATAAGTCAAAATTTTTAACCGATTTTTCTCGAACTGGAAACTGTTTTGGAAGTTTTTTAATGGGGTTCGGATCACGACTGAAAGAGCTTTAATATATATTACTCAACCCAGTACATTGATTATTTGTGGTACCTGATTTTGCGTTATCGGAACAAAAAACTTAAACACCCGAGTACAAAGTTCCTCTGCATTTTTCAAATGGTCGGAACAAAAAATAGCTTTTTCAGAGTTTTTGCAATGTTCCAATTTTGTAGTTTCTTTTTCTACCAAAAACAATTGAACTGATTACCAAAGAAATTGAAAAGAAAAACGGCAATACATATGGTAAAACATAATTTACAACATCAAGTTTTATCTAATTTTTTCTGTTCAGACCAGTTCAGAAAAGTTCAGACCAGTTTTTCTCGGCACAGTTAATATTTTTTAATTTTTTCTTGAATCCCGATCTCGACCAAAAATTAATTTGGGGTCTTTTCGGTTACACCTCCTTCCTAAATTATCAAAAATTGAAAGAACATTTAAAAGATTTGATTTTACTTAAAAATGCAGGGCGGATATCACGAGCGTTGAATCAAACTAGAAAAATGCAAAAATTCGAATTATACGACAATCAAAACTGCGGATGAAATACGTTATATGAAAAACACTTTCAACAAACGGCAAAAAATAGAGAAAAGAGCCAGTTTGACGCTAAATTTGGTAACAAAAAAAGCTTCTTTTTGATCAGTCCTATTTTAAAATTTTTCATTTCCTAGTAATATTGATGCAAATTTTTTTGTTAAAAATTTTAATTGCATGTTTCACCGATTTGATGGAGTATAACGAAAAGACCCGCTGCTTTAAAATTAAACCAGTTTTAACTCCTGAAGAGCCTTCTTTGAAGTAGTCAAAATAGGCTAGAACAAAGGAACCCTACACCATATAGTTCCTTCCAGTTTTTTTCCATGACGTGGTCGGAACACAAAACACGCGTATTTCTTTTTTACTCTATTATAACACCTGACCTATGAAACACATTGAGTGCCCACTCTACTGCTTTGGGGTCTCCGCAGTAGCATGCTGCATAGAGGAGACGTCCGCAGTTTTTGATGAACATTTTCAATATCCGTGACCCCAGTCTCTGGAAAGTCCAGTCCACACAAGCCATGTAATTTCCCGCAATCATGCCAGCCTCTAGGATATCTGAGAACATCAGAGAAGTGTGTCCAAATTTTGCTGTGATTTTGAACCTAGCATACATGCGCATTTTACGTGAGCAAGACTAATGCGGAACAAAAAAAACATGAGGATATATTATTTAGCGTTATCATATTTTCTTTACCGTATTTTTATATATAGGGCCACATTCATAGCTTTTACTAGCCATAGAAATCAGCTAGCCTCTATTCTTTGGTTCCAAGAATCTTATTATGATAAATGTTCTCAACTTAGAAAAAATATATACTTCTCGAAACGCGTATCACCGATAAGAAGGATTGAATCTGGATCTTTTGAATCACTGCTTAGGTAAACTGGCAAACATGAACTTAAACAATGCCGTTAAAATGTACTAACCGGATGCTTTAGGAATTGTATTCAACCTGGCCAAAAATGGGATCCACTCGGCCATTATAGCGCAAGATATCATCTTGATGAATTGCTTACCCACGCGATCAGACATAACTTTTACAAAAGCATCCGTCTTTGGACCATCAAATGCGGAAAATATCTTCTGGATGGGCAGATCTTTCTTTCCGTCTTCACCTGGATACAAGTTGAGGAGTTTCTCAAATAGCTTCACATTTGAGTTTATCATTGCAATCTGGAACAATTTGGCAACAAAATCTTGAGTTTTTTTGTCCCATTGCACGAAAGGCTTCAGAAAGCTCAAGTCAATTGGAATGTGATTGGCGGCATCAATTAGAATATTCTCCCAATAACATTCATTTTGTTCTAGAAAATTCTCAATTCGTTTGTAGACAATATCTGCAGCAAAGATGCAAACTTCGTACTGCGCTCTTGTGATTGCCAAATTCAGGACTCCGAATGTTCTCTTGTCGTGAATTTCATGTGGCATATCATCTACTATTATAATAATGGACCAAGCCTCGCAGCCAGTGTAAGGCGCCGATTTGAAGTTAGTTCGAGGAGAAACTATTGTAAGTTTGACTAGAGATTCCGATTCAAACCGCCGTTCCCAAACCTCTGGCTTATCGCTAAACACGAGTGCTCGTCGATTTGATGCGAAACATTGTCGTGTATTTATGTTGTCATTCAAAACTAAATCAACAGCTGATGATACTTTCTCCAGTGCGATTTTTGTTTGTGTCGACGTTAAGCATCCTGGAATCCGAACACTAGTCCGAGATACATGTTTAGACCTGTGTACAAAGTTAGTCGAGAAGGTGCTGATGTGATGTGCACTTCGAAAGGAAACATTGAGCGTTTTGATTTGGAAGTTAGGCAGCATTATTTTCTGATTCATTTTCTTCTGTACTGTATGTTGTCCTGCCATAAGATTCGTCATCCAGGTTTTTTTGGCGTGGTAACAAGCTTCGATAGCTCGCAGATACAATTGGTCTTGGTCAGTTAACGTGTCAGTTGACTCGAAATACAACTCGTCAATAAGTATTATTGATTTATGCAAATCTATCACAGATAGTTTCTCTGCCGACTCCAAATTAGTGTCAGTGCTTAAAAAAGTTGATCGATAAATTGAGGCAAAATTTAGCAGAATAGCAGAACTAAGCATCTGGAAATCATTTAAAATGTTATTCAAGTGTGAAAAATTTTTTTTGTTAGATTCCGACATTTTGTGCCCATCACAAGAAAACAAGCTAACAAAATCAACAAGCCTAAGACAAAAACATTGCTGTCAACAAAATTCATCCAAAGCTAATCAAAAATTTGAAATAGTATCAGTTCGTTCAACTTTTTGTACTGCAAAGGATGCTCGACTATGTGTGACAAGTCCTCCAAAGTAAGAAACTTAAGTTTTCGTTTCGCTTCGTGTGGAATTTCTTGAGTCTCGGAGAAGTTGATGATGAATTCTTTGAAATCCGTTTTTTCTGACGGAAAACTTATAATTACATGTTCTACGTCATCTTCGTGCAGTGCTGCATAAAAGGCTTTTGCTAGCAAAACCGCCGTTTTTCCAGTGCCCGGTTCTCCCACCAAGAATACATTGTCCGGGTTCTCATCTAATAACCTGTGCTGCTGAGGACTTAGGATGATGTTCAGGTGTGACGTTCCAGGAGTTACGTTTTTCGTTTGTTTCAAAAATCGATTGTCTACACTTAAGGGGCAGTCAAGAGGCGGATCTATAGCACAATTCGCCTGGCTGTTGTTCAGGCTGAGTAGATACGAGAAAGACAAAATTGAGACGATATATTTTATCAGTTTAAAGTTTTCCTCACTCAAATTCAAGTCTGGCGCGACTTCCGGGCTGAATAAATCGTCGGTGCTTAATCCAGACGCCTCTAGTTGAAGATCTGAATTGAGCTCGAACAAACTCAAATAAGGATTTCCAGCTGCATTACTGAGAATATCTGCATTTTCTGCTGTCATTATTGAGATTTGATTATTTCTTAATATTTTCAGCTTTTCCAAGGATTTCTTTTTGAGATCAATGCACGCTTGCACAGCTGCTCTGGTCGTGTTGGTGAAAACGATCACCAGCCTAACCGATTTTACGGCAATTTGTTTCAACTCAGCATCAGGCAAATTTGAAATTCCCCTGAGAAACAAGTAAACTATCTTCTCCATCGTGCACTTTTTCTGTAAGCTTTTATCGTCTGACAGTTTGTTCAAAACTGTAGAAATTGGCAAAGAGGGATTCGAACTTCGACCCACTTCAAAATAGTGAACAAACCGTTGCTCATTAATAGCCAATCAAATTCAAAGAAACAGTTAGAGGGTTGCCTCAGTACTTGGTTTAGATGATGAGTCTTGTATCCATGAACCATCAGGCCTCTAGGGTCGACCAAACAAGAGATCACCTTCTCCCAGAAATCTTTCACTTCTCCCAAATAAAGATTCGCCGCATCAGCAGGAGAACAATCGTTTAACTTAACAAGTAAGTTGTCACAAATTCTATTGAAATCAGGCACAGTTTCTAAACTGCATTCCGTTCCAGGAAAATAGGCTTTGAACAGCTTGAGAGCATTTTCCACGTTACTTAGAGTGATTTGCTGCGAGACCGCACAATTGAAGATTCTTCGGGTAACTTCAAATCGGGTCTCGGAGGGAACTTTGAGAATAAGCGTTTGAAGCAGAGGATTAGGAAAAGAAGAGCTTAGCGGTTGAAGTAATGCCTGGCGACGAACTTCAATTGAGTAATTAGTTAAAACACAAGCTGCTCTCATTTCGAATGAAGGGCTTATTTTCGACTCTGAGCTAAGTTGTTCATTCAGGTCGTCGCTTAATTTCTTCACACTGGCGTCATTTTCAATCTTCGCTTTTGACCAAATGACAAAACTGATTGGTATTTTCCTGGCTGGAGGCTCATTAAGTTCAGAAATTAGTTTAATGAAGTTAGATTCTATTTCCTTCATCTGCAATAAAATTGACGCCTTCGTTCGCTCAAATGTGTCAGGGGCAAATTTGTCAATTTTCTTGTTGACAATAATGCGGTCGATGTACGCGCCCTCGGCAGTTGGAATAAAGAGATTTGCGAGTGGGAAGGCTTTAGGATTCTTGTTGCTGTCGTACAGTTTTCTGTTCAAATCGAAGTTTTCAATTTCACTCTCACATATTGGAAGTTGGTTCAAGTAAAATCCTGCTAATTCCAGTTTTTTCATCTGCTGGAGCGAAAATTTGTCGCCACCAGGGACTTCGAAATTATTCTGATTGTCCAACAGATTTTCGGGATTATGTGGCAAAACAGTAAGCTGATTTTTATGATGCGGAAATTTGGTTACAATCAAATTCAGATCCATAATTAATTAGTTGGACAAAGGCTATGCAAAGCCTAGCTCCAGGTAAGACGAAACAATTTGAAAAGTTACGTATTCCTTCAAATTTCAATTTATGGCACAATCAATCAATAATCATTAAATCTTATTGAACAGAAGGCTCTTTATGCAAATCTCGGGTCTTGAAAGTTTCCAATCCACCGAATTCTCAAGGCTGCGTAAAAGAAAAATAGATTGAAGGAACAATTTTTTGTAAGAACAATAATCAATTAATGTGGGATTATAATCAAAACAAATTCTTTTTTTTCTGACGAAAAGGTGGAGTTCTTCTTTTTCCAGAAAAGCTTGAAAAGTGAACTTTTTTCAAATATGCTCGATGTTTCACAGATAACTGTGAAAGGAACAGGCAGAACTTTCGCTAGTTTTGCTCAACTTTATCTGTGAAAAAAAAATTGCCTTAAAATTGCGCTTTCTCGTGCCGTTCCGCTGACTTTTTCCCGACAACAGGACTTATCTTATTCTATCCCGACTATCACGATTTACCTGCGGCTGTATTTCCGTTGGTTGCTCTTAGGAATTTATTTTTTAAGCATTGAGGCCAAAACTTTCCTTTCAAGCTACTGGAACAGAAATTGGTTGTCCATGTTAGTATTAAAAGCCCTGTTTCTCATCAAGCCCATTCAAATTTTTTTTTCCATATTTTTGACCAAAATTTTGGCGACCAAAAATGTCAGCGCCCTCAAACGGAAGCTAGGAATTGTAAGTCACCAAACAAACGACATACCGCAAGGTTCTACATCATAAAGACAAGGATTTCAAGTTAACCTTTTCCACCTGTCTGTTCAAAACTCCTTCTCAAAATAAAACTCATACTCGAGCTGAGTCTTCAGTTGAGACTCCAACTCATGTTGAGACTGGCACTCAACACACAAATTGTGACTACAATCAAAAACGTTTCGCAGCACTCAAAGCAGAAAATCTTACCATTAAACCTATTTGGCAACAGAACAGTTCGTAGCTTTTTGATTCAACCTGGATGGTCGGGTTGAAATCTTTCTGATAAGGCATCATGCTTTGTAGCCGCAAGCAATCAAAATTATTACTCAGCCCCTAAGCTTGGACGCACACAAAAAAATAGCAAGGAAGCTTCAGTTTCACTCACTTGAATATCGGTCGACTCCGCCGTATGATCCTCATAATAACGGAGTTTAGGAGCGGTTATTTCCGACAGTTGGACGAGTCTTTTCTTATGAGCTTAGGATCTGAGAGGTTTTCAAATAGACTAAAGCGAATACCTATCCTTCCAAGAACACCTACTCATGTAATTTGCGACATTGATGACCAGTTACCACTTACGCCAAACCACTTCTACTAAAAAAAGCATCCAATTAGGCTCTTGCAGCTACATTCTACACACAACAAAGAACCAAAAAATTGCTAAAAAGCTCGGACAGACAAGACAGCTTCTGAAAGCAACTAATCAAAGCATCAAAAGAAACATAGTAAAGAAAAACCATGTGAGTTCAAGAAAACTAAATGACCAAAAAATCATTTTGATCACAAAAGAACGGTATAAATTTTAGAGGAGGATCCTAAAGAAAAGATGATTTATGCGAGTTGTAGAATAAATCAATCCACGAGGTAGTTATCTCTCGGGCATGTATATGAAGCATTTAATCTATTGATCGAAAATTAATATTTTCTTTCACCGTCACTGCTAGTACAAAATTCAAGGACCAGGAAGGCTCCCGCTACCGAAGGGCCAACTGCATCATCCAAGGACAAGGACATCGCAGGGAATTCGCCACGGGGGTCTCTTCATAAGGTTAAAAGCTTCCTCAAAATCAACACAACTCCAAATTCACTCAAGAACGTCAGACATCACTACACCGATTAATGAATAAACGACGATCAAAAAGTAAATTTGTCTCTCCGCCGTCTGATTCTCATTTTGGCGGATTTTGGGAGCGACTCACTTTCAAAATCAAACGAGTCGTTCTCATCAACTTGTTGTCTGAGAAGTTTTTAAAAACACAAATGCGAAGACCTTATCAATTCAACGTCACACACAATTATGTGTTTTCCGATTCAGATGACTAGTACCACTTAAACCGAACCTTTTTTTAGTTGGACGAACTTTTTCATTTACGTTCTCTCAGCTAAATTCTACACAATATACAGTAAATTCCCTAAAAATTTAAGGACCGACTAGACAACTTCTGGAAGCAACTGATCAAAGAATACGTTCCAATCTTAATCAGAATAGTCACGTGAAACCAAGAAGATCATACAGAAAAAAAACTGATTTAAGCAGATTTTAGAGAAAAAAAATCACACCACGAGGCATCTGGCCCCATGAGTAAGCCAAAAATTGCCAAAAGCATCGTGCGCTAGTGCATAGAAAACTGCGAGCAAACGAGCACTTAATAGGCTCGCCCAGAAACTTAAAAAAACTTTCTAGACGACACTGAAAATTATTGCTACCAGGTCACAATCCAGTAGTATAAACGGAGAAAAAACCAAACGGTAATGAGTGAAGTGGTCGCTGATTGACTGAAAATTATTTCATGATTTTTGGAAAAAAATAAAGAGCTAGAAAAGTCTTTTTTTAAGAGAGCGAGCGAGTGGACTTAAGCAAATATTGAACAACTCAATTATTTCTCAGAAAATTAAAATTCTGTCACTTTTTCAGCAACACTAGATGTTAACCCCAGGGTGGGTGGGACATCGAATTTCGAAATCGACTATTTTGAAAAATTTTTCTCAGACTTTTGAAAATTCTTGATTTTTCAACGGCACCAGATGCTGCCCCTGTGGTGAGCGGAGACAGGGAAATTCGGCCATGTTGTGGTAATACATCCTAAGTTACAACAATTAAACAAGATGTAATGTTTTTTCTGATTTTGAAGAAGCGGCAAAAAACGCTTCAGTTTTTTTAAACAAGTTGCAAAAAGTGTTTCAGTTTTTTAAACAAGATGCAAAAATTGTTTCACATTTTTGACAGGATGCAAAAAGTGTTTCAATTTTTTCGACAAAATGCAAAAAAAATGTTTTATTTTTTTTGACAAGATGCGAATAGGGTTTCACTTTTTTCGATCAAATAAGAATATTGTTTCAAATTTTTTTGACAAGATGCAAAAACAATCAGGTATTTTCACTTGTGTACAAATTTTCGAGTATTTATCTAACATGGGTGCAAAAATTAATCAAGTTTCTTAAGATGTGTGCAAATTCGGAGCACTAAATTAGGTTCTAATTGTATTTCAATGATTTACTCTGAACTTCTCATCTATTCTCCTAATTAAATTGGAAGTGAAGAAACTAATTAATTACAAGGAACGAAGTTAATACCAAACAACAATTATTTAGAAAAATGTTTAATCGAAGAGCTGTCGAGAGATCTGGAGGTTCTCTATAGAACGCAGAGTGGACGAAGTTGTAGTGGTTGTTGTGGAGCTGGAGGCGTCATTATTTCTGAGAAACCCTCATCTTCATCTATTATGATGGGGTTTTCGGCTGATCTTGCTTCCTCCCAAGGAAAGAGGAAATTGTTGACTGGTTGGGCCATATATCTAGAGTCAGGATTGTCGGGGTAGTTCCTTCCCACTTACTCAGCTCTTTCTTCCATCATTTGCATTCCTCCAAGTTGGTTCTCTGTCATGGGCACTTGCATCATATGATCCTCGTTGAAATCACTTCGCATCAATTCAACCATGGCCAGAATTGGATTGGGATGTCCATTCGTGCCAGAAAAACTCCAGAGATTGTTTCTCCCACTTGAATTTGTACTAGATCAGGCGAAAAAGGCTTCAGAGTACATGAGAATGCTGTTTTGTACTGAGAAGATCTTTTTGAGCAATAAATTGTCTAAAAGATACCGAGTAAAAACAAGAATGATTTAGAGCTGAGAGGGTGTAGCTGACGGAAGACAAATTGAAATAGGGTATTTAGAGCTGAGAGAGGAGGTAGTTGACGGTAGTTTAGTTGAAAATAAAATGATTTTTAGTTAGTAGTGAGGGGTACCTTCAAATCGAATGTGTGGTTTTAACCAATCAGAATTGATTTTCCTTATTTGGATTTTAGTCGTGTCCAAATAAATATCAGCTTTCTTGGATATAATTATGTATAAAAGTCGTGTCCAATCAGAAACAATGTTCCATTTTAGGTACTTTTTACACATTGTCGTTTCCAATCACAAAATGGAAAATTTTTGTGATTGGAAACGCCAAGGTGTAAAAAGTACCTAAAATGGAACTTTGTTTCCGATTGGACACATTTTTATTCAAGAATTCCATAAAAGAAAGCTGAAATTTGATTGGAAACAACTATAATCCAAATAAGGAAGCAATGACGCTTCCAGTTCCACAATAACCACTACAACCTCGTCCAGCTCTGCGTTCTATAGAGAACCTCCAGAATTTTTGTTAGCTCTTTGCTTAAACATTTTTCTAAATAATTGATGTTTGGTTTTAACTTCATACTTTGTAATTAATTAATATCTTCAATTTCAATTTAATAATGAGAATAGATGAGAAGTTCAAGGTAAATCATTGAAAGACAATTATAACTTAGTTTGGTGCACCAAATTTGCAAACATCTTTAGACACTTGAATAAATTTTGTACCCCTATTAGAGAAATATAAGAAAATTTGTACATAACTAAAAATACCTGATGACTTTTGCATCTTGTCAAAAAAATTTCAAACACTTATCGCATTTTGTAGAAAAAATTGAAACACTTTTCACATTTTATCGAAAAAAGTGAAACACTTTTTGCATCTTTTCAAAAAAAGTGAAACATTTCTTGCATATTGTGGAAAAAATTGAAACATATTTCGCATTTTGTCGAAAAAAAAATGAAACTCTTTTTGCAACTTGTTAAAAAATTTGAAACGTTTTTTGCAGCTCCTTGAAAATCAGAAGAAAAATTGTATATTGCTTACAAGTTTGACGGGACTTTCGCAAGTTCCTTAGCAACGGTTAATTTTTTCATTAGCATATGAGAGAAAATAGATGAAATATCA